TTTTTAAAAACCATCATGAAAAAGCTTTAGTTTATACAAACTAATTATTATACAAACTAATAATCCTCGTAACAGAACATTAAATTGCCTTTGGCTTTCACAATCAGATTAGAAAGCATCTTGTGCAAGAAAAGATCCTAACAATTATTCTAAAAAGAAAGGACTACTACAATACCTGGACTCCAGGCTTCAGTGCATCATCCATTTTATTTCAGTAGCAAAGTATTTCATACAGTCCAAAGATTTCCTTTTCTAAAATCCAAAGCAGTGAGAACTAGAAAATGTGTTTGTGACTATCTTCTGACTCTCGGTCAAAATTCAAATTTCCATTGGCTTGAGCTTAGAACTAGCAGCTTGTGAAGGCTAAAACCTCAAAGCAAGAGCAAAAAACTCTTGGAGGATCTGATCAGCCCCCAAGAGGTATGTAAACAATATTAAGTTCAGTCCCCAGGGTGGGAAGAGACAGACAAAGGTCAAAAAAGCAGCAAGCACAAAGCAACCTGAGCATAATTTGAAATAGCACAGAAGACAGAATATGGCTATATCACTTTTGTGCACATATTAATAGCTATGTCGCATTCATTTCAGAATAAATACTGTCTGCTTCAATGCTATGTCAGAAATGAGGGGGTGGCAATCAGATTCTTCTTAAATTCTTCTTAGATTCTAATTTTTGTTTAGAGCAGAAACACAAATAGTAGTACCTCCACAAACTACAGACCCTAGGATTCCATAAGATACAGCAATGGCAAACATTATAATTCTGTTGTGGTAAAGAAGCATGGCTAGGCCTCCAAAAACAGATGGATTGCTCTTCCCATCACTCCCCATCACTGGGTGTGCTCACTAGGGTTGATGGAAATGTCAGGTCAACAACATCTGTTCCACCACTCCTGACATTAGAGGCAGGTTGGCACTTTAAAATCCTGAGGTTAGTAGCCAAGAACAAAATATGCCAGTTGCACTCACTAACCAGACACCACTCCACCCAGGTGCTAGGTGCCCTATTCAGGAACAAGAAGAGTTGGGAGCAGACAAGGAAAGAAAAGATTGTCTGAATCAAATGGAATCCCTCCATTCTGCTGCTATTGGATGCAGCGTACACAACACTGTCTATCTCTTTACCATGCAGTCATCAAGTTAAACCAACTTCTAATGTGAAAACTGAAATACATACGACAGGCCAAAAGTAATCACTGCACGTCACAGGGATGCCAATCAGCCACAGGGTCATGAAACCAAATTCCCAAGTTAGCAACTTCTCTGAAAAGACTAACTTCTTTTGCAAAATACTTCAATGCGGTTAAATTTAAACAAAACAAAACAAACAAAAAAATAGAACAAAAAACCCAAAATGTAAAACAATCCAAAATATATGTGCTTCATTAATTTACCAATAATGTAAACTCGCAAGGAATCTGTGTGTATACTCAGACTAGAACTTGGCAAGTGAGTGCCCCCTTTTGGTCACCTGCAGTGCTTTTAAAGTGTTTTACAATTCTCAGTGCTAAATTCTGGTCAGCATTCAGTAGTACAATGCACTTAAAATGATAACATATTATAGAAGGACAGAATTTGCCCTATAAAGCAATTACAGAAATTCATAAAGAAATTACACAGAAACACATACGATATACAAGAGCATTTCAACTGGCTTACTCCTTCCTTAGTCTGACAATCTTCCATGTGTAGTTGGGCAGTGAGTACCCTATTGTGCCTCCGATCGTTCATTGGACATTATGTAAATAACAAAAGTGATGCATAGGCACACCAACCAATTTCTATATTCATGCTAAGACAGCAGACCCAGGCTGTTGTATTCCTTCCTTCTCTTTCCAGAGGACTGACTTTTGCACAGAGTTTCAGTTTTAAATCTTGGCTTGGCCTTAACTAGGAAACAGTGACCACTGTTTAGAACAGTGGTTCTCAACCTGTGGGTCCCCAGATGTTTTAGTCTCCAACTCCCAGAAATCCTAACAGCTCGTAAACTGGCTGGGAGTTGTAGGCCAAAACACCTGGGGGTCCACAGGTTGAGAACAACTGGTTTAGAACAAGCATGGGCAAACTTTGGCCCTCCAGGTGTTTTGGATTTCAACTCCCAGAAATCCCAGCCAACTTACCAGCTGCTAGGAATTGTGGGAGTTAAAGTCCAAAACACCTGAAAGACCAAAGTTTGCCCATACCTGGTTTCGAGCAAGCTATGGTCAGTTTTCCAACAAGATACTTGAAGAGATTATTTCCAAGCTAGCTTGTTTAACCAATTTATTATTATTAAACCAGAATATGGTTCATAGGTAAAAAGAAACCAGGAATCACAAAAACACATAAAGATATCTAGTATATGAGGGGATGGACTACACAAGCCAGAACTTTCATTCAGGCTTACTTTGGCTCAGGCTCATAGATCTTAACAATGGCTGAATTGAGTGGTGCACCTCATGTTGCTGGACTGCAACTTCTCACAGGCTCTCACCAATGACATTGTTGGTGAAGACTGATGGGAACTGTAGTTCCAAAGAATCTGGAAGAGCTCATGATTTAAAGTTCGGTGCCAATCAGCTCATTTTCCCCCTTGAAGTGTATTTGGCACTTGAAGGGATTATGAGACTGAGAATTAGAAAGTATACTGTATCACATATTGCGAGGCAGGTGTGCTCACTGTTTCATTACACATAAAAGATTCTCAAGTCAGAATGTATAATTAAACTTGAATTATGTTATATTTCAATTTTGCACAGTCTAATGGTTGCTGGAATCATTCCTCAACCGCCAGATGAAAGTCACTTGCAATTGTACTCAAAAGCAGGAACTACCATTACAGTTCTGACATGCTGAAGTGCTCTAGATAACATGATAAAACAGCAAAAAGAGCACTGTCTCCTACATTGTAACAAAACTAGCATTAATGCTTTATTTAGCAGGAAAGAATGATGTTATCCTGGTAGACGCCTTTCAAAAATGGTCCACTTTCTTTTATGCCTATGTAAACACCAAAATACCCATAGCACTTAAATAATCATGTATACAAAAATAAAGGAATAATTCATATAAATGGAACAGAATTTGAATAGCTAGATCTCTGTGGACTTCACATTAAACGTAACATCCACCTGGGCTGCTTCTTGGTCTGGTGTCGCTCACACCGATAATAGCTTTCTATGCACTTTTCTAACTGTTCGTGCTTGTTAAGTATGTACAAGAGAAAATTAGAACAACTACTCATAAAGGAGAAGTGGTGAATAAAAGGACATCTTTTTTCAGAAAAATATGATATGATAGAATAATCCATATGACATGATCGAATCGAAAAATAGATTCTGTCATATGGATCCAGAAACTTAGCTTGTGCAACAGAAGATATGGATTTAAATGGTCTTTGCAGGATGCATATCCTAACAAGCTGTGACATGTACAGAAAACAAAGTGTCGCCAGCATAGTGCAAGGATGCATCTACTTAACAAAAAATATATTACTATATTTGAAGAAAAAATAGTTCAGCAAAATTTATGTCATCCCAATAAGTAATATTTGGTCTACATACTACTTCAATCACACTTGAGAATGAATCAACTTTAAATCTGATTTCTGCCTCCTTCTGAATTCTGGTGTTTGTAGTTTAGGGAGGAGCTTTAACAACCTCATTAAACTACAAACCCCAGAATTCTGCAGGAGGCAGAAATCAGATTTAAATTGGATTCATTCTCTAGTGTGATGAGGTTAATAGTAAGCTACATGAAACTTAGAAACTGGTTTTCAAACTGGCACAAGACCATTAATTGCTAAGTTTAGACTGCCGTGGTTTATCAAAATATTTCGACACCTTCAGTTCACTCCAATGAGCGAGGCAGTCTTAATTTAAGCTATTTGAAACAAGTGTTCTATAACTTGGAATTATATTACCTTAACTGGACAACATGCACCAGCGGTATTAAGCAAAAAATGAAGTGCCAAAATGGGGGATTTCTTCTCAGCAGTGACGGGGGGGGGGGGGGGGGGGGGGGGGGTGTCAGTGTCCATCCAAAATATTCTGTGTAAACACCACTGAAATGAAGAGGAATGTAACCCTTAGGCAACTTCTGTTCACTTCTGTGGGATTTGTGCATGGAGTGGTTCTCTGGATTGTGGCCTAGGCAAAACCAGAATCCCCTAGCAAATTGGGTAAACAACCGTGGTTGGGGCTTGTGGAATGGTTCAGTCCTCTCAGCCATAGATCAGCTTCCAGGAGAACACCAAGACATGTCCTATTCTGCTAGTGTGCTTACTGGACTTCAGTCTGCATTTCCCTAGGAAAAATGCCATATCCACTCTGAACAGGAATGGCTGGGGGTTGGGGAGGATTACAACATATCTACACTTGAATCAACAGTTTTATTTCTATAGCTCTAGTTTCCCATATCCATTTCCTACTGCCTCCCATAACCATAGTCCAGAGATGAAACTCTTTTCATCTTTAAGGAGTCAGTGAAAAAGCACATTTAATGAACGGGACAACTGTGAATACTTTAAATATGGCTGATAAACAATGTAAAGGTCAAGATCTCTCTCTCCTCAGCATCTAAAAAAATTAAAGACTGCTCAAGTTCTCAACAGAAACCAGCGATTGTCTTAGTGACAATGACATTGGCTGTGATCTAGTATAGACCTAAATACATCAGGAGTGTCCCGTGGGCTCAGACACTCCCAAATGCAAATTCTCTCTGGTCTCACAACCTCTTTCATGTTCAGACCTAACCATGGGTAGCCAAAACCCTGGTGCTGACTTAACACTGCATCACAGTCAGCTCTGAAAATGAAGAAATGTGTAAGCAAGAGAAGTCACACAGTGCTCCCAGTGAGGAATGATGGAGTTTGCAGCATGAAGTCATGTCCTCCTCAAGGCTAGATCTACACAATGACAAATGGTGAACGTTTGGTAGCTACTCCACAGAACTAGGTAAGGATTCTGGGAGTTTGCAGAAGACAAAATACTATCAGGAGGGCAGTCACTGCCACTTGACTATGAAAGTGCCTCTCCCAGATTCTCATCTCTACTTCAGCATTACAATATGCACTAAAGCAAATTTATATGCTGATCTTAAGCCTGGATTAGCTTTCTTCAGTCGCTAAAAGCATGGCTTGGTTAACTCCCATGCCAAAGGTAAGTACAGAGATGGCACGGCCTTAAGAGGTTTACTATAGCCAGAATATTTAGTACAAAGCTCATCTGTGAAAGTCAAGCTGTGTTACCACTACCAGCTAGTAAGTGAAATTGTGGCCAAGACCTATGTATCTTCATCCGTCTGATCTTTTAACGGCTCCTGCTCAGATACACTGGAGATCTCGTCATCATCGTCTGTCTGTTCGCTTGAGTGATAGAGCATCAGTGCGTGGGTCTTGTGAGTTATTGTCACTGTGCAGGGGCCTTGTGCCCAGGGCTCTCCATCCACTTGCATTGGCATCTTGGAATTCTTCAGGATCAGCTGGAATTGAGAAAAAAAAAAAACAAGACAAACTCCAGTGGAGATGGATTTAGCTTCGCAACATCCTCTGAAACTCACTAACTCTGTGTAAGCTGGCAGTCCTTTTGAAGCCAAAGTACCTGCACAACCTGCGGCAATCCAGTGGTTTTGGCCTCCAACTCCCAGAAGTCCTAGCCAGCTTATCCAACTGCAAGGAATTCTGGGAGTTGGAGGCCAAAACAGCTGGAGGGCTACAGGTTATGCAGGCCTGCTCCATGGGAATAGAAAACAAGCTTGCTCTTTCCTTAATATGACATTCTTTCAAATACAATGAAATGGGTTTTAAAGATTTTTATCTTTAATGTGTTTTAGCAGAGTTTTTTTTGCATTTTATGTTTTCAGTTGTTGATATTTTGTCTAGTAGTATAATTAGGTTGTGTTATATTGTCAAATGTGTTTATTTTGATGTAATTGTTTATATAGTTTATTTCTGGCATTTTAATGTTTGCCTTGTATGTTGGAAACCACCCTGAGTCCCTTTGGGGAGAGAGGGTGGTATAGAAATAAAGATGATGATGATGATGATTATTTTAAATACTGAAACATGGCTATCATGTCCCCTCTCAACCATCTCTTCCTCAAGCTATCAAAAACATGGAATAAACAACATGGAGAGCAGCCATGGGAGAATGTGCTTCATCAGCCTGCTCCAAGTCCTGTCACCTACCCTCACAGTGTGGGCCTGACCCAGCCGGATGGGATTTGCAAGCTTCACTTGAATCTGTGCACAGTGAAAGGAGCCATTCACCCCAACAACTTCCAGTAATCCATCATCATTCCTGGAGCAGAAAAAAATAATTTATTAATATTTATTATTAACAAAGCTATATTAGATACAACATCCTGTATGCATCACCACTAGGCAAATGGCCCCATATGTCCTAAAACCCAGAAGGTCTGAATGAATGGTTTGGTTGTGGCCAAGAGTGGCAACATTTCACATCTTTCTTTCTTTCTTTCACTTGTAAAAGATTGGGTACGGTGCAGAGCGAAGTTATGATCCCATGAAAATGGTAGGTAAACGAACCCAATTATTTCTATATAAAAAATACAAAATACATGTGTGGCTGTTATACAATTTCCTTCCTGCAGCCATAAGCTAATAGAGTGGAAGACATCTTTGTTTTTTATATAGGGAGAAAACATTTCTAGAGCTCATTAGGCTCTCTAGCATGCAAGAAATAATGATGAAAATGTTGGGTTAAAAAAAAAAGAATTAAAAAGTTCCCATTTGTACCAAGGGGAAAACTAAAAAAGAATTTGAGAGTTTTGTTGGGGAAGGATTGAATAGTTGCCTATATGTAAAGCCTGCTTGAGTCCCCTTTGGGGTAGAGAAAGGTGGGATATAAACAAGGTAAATAAATAAATAAGGAGACAATTCAGGATGTCACATCAATAGTAAGATAATCAAAGATTAGAAGGGCCAGTTATTTAGAATTGTCTCAATGGCAGGTCCAGAATGGATAACATGATGAAGCAGTACTGACCTGATATACTGTCCCTCAAATAAATGCCCCCCCCCCCAGTAAATCCACTGCCATACAGATTATATGTACCAAATAGCACACTCTTACCTTGCCAGCGGGTAAAGCTCATCTCCCATTCCTTCCCATAATCGACAGCCACCTCCCCAGTAGGCGATATTCAGCACTATGATTCCTTCCAAACTGGGCAGGTCGATTTTCTCTCCATCCAACTCTAGCTTTAAAGATATACAACAAATTGCTACCAAGTTCCATGAACAAAGAGTTGGTCCAAAGCAAGGTCTATAGGCTTGGGAAGAGGATCCAAGAGCAGCTATTTAGTGAGGAGTTCAAGAGCTTTGAGCCCACCTGATTTGGTTACCAAATAAATCCTTAGAGATATGGGAATATGACGGAGGAGGGTAGGCCAAAACTTTCAGTCATTACTAACCATATGTCTACCTCATCTCTGGAAAGAGCCACCAAATCCTTTTGACTTCCGTCTGCTCATACGGCCAGCAAGCCACTCTGAGAGCACTGAATTTAAACAATCCTAGATACAGTCTTTGCCATGTCCTTCCAACTATCAATGTATTTCCGTTGAAGAAAACCAACACATTAACTATGAAAAGCAGAAATAACAGCCTTACCTCAATCTTTTTGTTCAAATCCTTACATTCCTGTACTAAACAATCTTTGGTTCCATAGAAAAAATAAACAGCCTGTAGAAAAAAACAACAAAACAAAAGGTGTGCGTGTGTTGTGAATTACAAAAACTGGACTTGGTTGACTTGCTCCTTCTCTGGACTCAGATCACTGGAGTTTTAGTGATTAAACGGTAATATTCTAAAACAAGAGGCAATCCTGAAAAAACAATTTTAACCATTTTATTCTATTATGGAACAATTAAATATAGTATGACTCCTGTATTCATATATTCCAGGACTTCACGTGGAAATATAAAACTTTGCATTGCTACATCCTCCAGCCTGATTCTATGGTCAACTTCTGCTGTAGATATAACATAGAATTGTCTGGTGGAGCTAGAAAATGCCCAGAAAGGACATGTTTTATGAAACCATGGGTACTGGTCCCACAAATACAGGTAACATTCTGTATATACTTAACTTTCAAATCTTCAGTAATAGATATCATTCTCTTATGTATGTTAACACCGTTCTTTTTTTGTGTCAGGAGCGACTTGAGAAACTGCAAGTTGCTTCTGGTGTGAGAGAATTGGCTGTCTGCAAGGACATTGCCCAGGGGACACCTGAATGTTTTACCATCTCATGGGAGGCTTCTCTCATGTCCTCACATGAGAAGCTGGAGCTGACATATGGGAACTCATCCTGCTCCTCAGATTTGAACTGCTGACCTTTTGGTTAGCAGTCCTGCCGGCACAAGAGTTTAACCCATTGCACCACTGGGGGCTCTTATGTTAACACAGTAATATTAAGTCACTATATCCCATAACCATTCTAAACTATTGAGAAAACACCACTGGTTTTTACTGTACTTTTAAAAATATTCATACTATGCATTCCTTTCTTTGATTGTCAGCTGCAATTTCAAGAGGGTCCCACACAATAACCTTTGGATCTAACCACATGTAACAGCCAATCTGGCATAACAATCTTGCTAGAATTTCCGACTCTAAGGACAGCTCCACTCCATAAGCATGAAATTCTATCACAGTTTGAACATTTCTAACAAGACTTTGTGAAAACTATAGATTCCATTAGATACCAATTCCATTGACAGACTATAAAACACTGAGAAAGAATGAGTGACATGGTGGAAATGGTAGGATATCTTCAAAAAGGCTGATAAAGGTAAGAGTGGGCAATTGTGGTGAAGCCAGGGGACAATTTTATGCTCCTTGAGCCCTTTGAGGGCCTAATAGAGAGATTAAAAGTAAAACCAGATTTTTTTAGAACATCGCTTCTGTTTTTTTAAAAAAAACATTAAAAACATTAAAGAGTGTAAGGATATGCTGCTACTTATTTAAAGAGCAAATCCTCACTGCTGTATAATTCCACATGTGACAATTGAGACTTTTGGGGAACCACAAAATGGTTACCTGGGGAGATTATTGAGTAGCCGAGGGCTTCAAAAGGAAGGAAAAGAAACAAATGAAGAAAGGCAGAAAGAAAGCTGAGCAAATTGCCTCTTATGGAAGCCTTCAGAGAAACAATTTACCCTTGAAACATAAGAAACCACAGTTTTTACATTTGTAATTGGATTTCTAATCTTTTCATTATATCTGGAGAGGATGGGAAACACAAAATTGGTCCCAAGAACTATCACAATATCTGTATAACTTGTGGCCCTCCAGGTGTTTAGGCCTCCCAACTCACAGAAGCCCTAGGCAGCTTGTCCAATGGTCATGATTTCTGGGAGCTGAAGTCCAAAACACCTGGAGGGGCATGTCCTAGAGGAAAAAAATCACAACAGATGTCCTCTGAAGTGATCCAAGTTCATTGGGATGCAGCAAATTTTGGTTTTGCCTGACATACCTTGTTAAGGATCCTACTGGAAAACAGAGAGGGAGATTTCTCACGATGAGCATGAAAGTTTAAGGCCATGAGAGCATCTGGCCCTATGGAAAAATAGTTGTTCATTGTGAAGACCTGCAAAAAGAGGGGACAAGGGTCATGAAAACTCTTGATTATACTCCAAGAATAGTGACCTAGGGAAAAGGAATCAGGGGCTGTTGGACTCTAAATTCCATCTATCAAGGAGGATGGCAGCGAAAGCCCAATACCTAGGGGACCACAGCTTCCCTACCCCGTAGCGAACAAATAAAAGGTGTCTATACACTTTGCCATGAGACCACACTTGATCTTTTCAGTATTAAACCATTTGGTATTTTTAGCTTTAAACCACTTCTTATACAAAAATTATTTCAGCTGCTTCTGAAGAAAAATACACAGAATTAGGCAAAATAACACATAATGCCCAGAAGTTACAGATAAGGCTAAACCAGTTCAATACAGGAAATTTCTGCCTATTGGACAATAATAATAATAATAATAATAATAATAATAATAATAATAATAATAATAGCATTGTTGTAAGTTTTTCAGGCTGTATGGCCATGAAAAACTTCCAGAAGCATTATCTCCTGACGTTTCGCCTGCAGCTATGGTAGGCATCCTCAGAGGTTGTGACGTCAGACATCACAACCTCTGAGTATGCCTGCCAGTTGCAGACGAAACGTTAGGAGAGAATGCTTCTAGAACATGGCCATACAGCCTGAGAAATTTACAACAACCCAGTGATTCCGGCCATGAAAGCCTTCGACAATACATTATTATTATTACGTAACAGAAAGCTCTTCTAAGAAAAGAATTCCTGTATGTTTGCTTATTTTAAAAGTTACACTTTTTCTTTTTGTTCAAGCTGGCTTGTGCTCAGCCGTCTGTCTCCCTGAAGTCCAGATTCAAGTAGTGGCGAAAAAGACTTCTTTTTCTCAACTTTTAAAATAAAAGCCCATTCTATCACATGAGCCACCAGAAACAGGATAAATACGGAACAATTATAGGTTGTACCTTTTGCTATTTCTAGGAACCAGTTAATTAGAACCAGGAAGGAAGTGCTCAAGCTTTAAGCTTCTGAAGGAACTTCCTTTCAGATCATCAATGCTGTTTGAAGAGATGTTGGTACATCATTTTAAAAAAATAAAATCCAGAAATATTCAGATGGATCTTTTCTCACTCTAAATCCAAGTCTTAGTCTTGGCCAATTTATACTTGTGTGGTCAATAGCCCATATTCTGTTATTAGTACTAACTAGAGCAGACCCATTGAAACAATGAGATTCACCACATAACCATTGATTCAAGGGGTCCACTCTAGTTAGGACTAGCTAACAGAGTGCCAGCCTTTGTTTGTTAACTAGCAGCCTCACCCACCACTCCCAATGCCAAGGTCAATTGATATAAGGATAAACCTCATGTTAGACATCATGGGAGGCAGGGTAGGGGTGCTCTGTTCCAATAGCTGTAAACAGAAGGTGGGGACAAAATGAAGTTTGCAGGGCCAGATGTAAATGTTACCAGTACTTTCCCACAGTACAACAGCTTTGGAGCATGCAAAACCTTGCTCTGCCAAAAAAAGTGTTCAGGGTTGCAAAACAGAACTTATTTCATTTCCAAAAATTTCCAATTTCTCCTTATTTGAGATTTCTAAACAAAGACAAAGGCAGAAGAACCCTCACTATGGAGATCCTTCATGGGCTGAATTACACACAAGATTTTCCTTTTCTGAATGACAAGAATCTCAGGCTCAGAATTTGTCGCTAGCAGTTGTCCACTGCTAACTGGGATTTTCTGCACATCTCCAAGGTAAAAACAAGTTGTTTGCTATATATAAAGATACATAATTTCCAAATCTTACCTTTAGTTTTCTTAAATTGTAGTATCCTTTATTGGTTACTTGGACCTTCCACCTAAAAGAGTGAGGGTGATATATTTATACTCAAATCAAACAACATTGTCAGAAAAAAATCCTAAATACAGGTTGAGTCTCCCTTATCCAAAAACTTGAACTTCTCCAAAAACTTTTTTTTTTTTGCAGTCAGTTACCCAATTCTAGCTTAAGGGAAAGCACACATCCAGCAAATACATTTGTTTCATTCATTTGATTTAAATATAACATGAAAGCTCACAAAAAAGAACAATATATTGCTGGGCTGCTAGTGTGTTGATAAACTGTTTAGTTCATCCATGTTTTAATGGTATGCTTTGTTGTAGTTTTCAGTTGTAGATTTTTTTTACCAATGGGCATGAAGTTGAGAGCTCTAGCATATAAAAGGGAAAGCACTTATATAACTCTTGTCACCTGTATCTAAATCTGTATTAATCTAGAGAGAGATTAACACACTTGCTCCCTCACATATATACTGTGGCTCAACAGCACCTAAAATTATGTTCATGTTCTTGCTGCATTTTTCTAAACCAGCAATGTGGCTGCATTTGTGTTGCCATGGGCTTAGATTAAAACTGAAATGTTAGATCCTTCAAAGCTGCTTACTAAAGGGCTCCCTGATCTCCTGCATCATGAGCTTTGCTTTCATGGGCAGCTGCTTCTTCTGTGACCTTTACCCTTTCTACCATTAAGCTGGGCTCCTTTCCTCCTCCTGCCCCATTTAATCTGTTTTTGCTACAGTCATGATGATTACCAACAGCATGACAAAACCCAAGCAATCTCTGCAGAAATCAAAGCACAGCCATACTGCAGACAGATGTCAGAACTAAAAACCCTCACTCAGTTTCCTATGGGAATCTTTTATAGAGGTGCAAAATATACGATTTAGTGATCTCGGTGACCTTCTGCTTGGCAGCTCACCTGTCCAACTTGATTCCATCCGCATCCATGACATTGCGCAGAATCTGCTCCACTGGGATCTCTCCGGCATATCCAGCCCCCCAGCCCAGGGTGTTGGAGAGATCATTACCTGTCCCCAGAGGCAAGATTGCCACCTGGGGGATGTACCGCTCTTGACCCTGTCATATAGAGGGAGTCATTCAGTTGTAAAACTCTCAATTGGATGGATCTCCCTGCTCTCAGCCTCCCCACATTTAATCCCAGAACTCAAAAGACAGTTTAAGTATCATTAATTGAAAAACTACTTGAAGGATTATTGCTTCTTAGCATGCAGTAGTCAGTAGTGGCATTCTGAAGCCGTAAAGAAGTGGGTGAAAGAGTTTTCCAAAACATTCTAGAGAAGTGGTTCTTACTCTTTAGTCCTCCAGGTGTTTTTGACTTCAGCTCCCACAATTCCTAACAGCTGGGAAACTGCCTGGAATTTCTTGGAGTTGAAGTCAAAAATACTTGGGAGGACCATAGGTTGAGAACCACTGCTTCTTAAACCATGGGTTCCAACTAGGCCTGGGGGAAAAATTGAAAAATTGGTGAGCCCCCCCCCTACCAAATCTGCCCCCCCATATTTCTGCTTTTTCCAGGCCTTCCCATGTTTAGTCCCTATCCCAAATGATATCCCCTTAGCTCAGTGGTTCTCAATCTGTGGGTCCCCAGATGTTTTGTCCTTCAACTCCCATAAATCCTAACAGCTGGTAAACTGGCTGGGATTTCTGGGATTTGTAGGCCAAAACACCTGGGGGCCCACAGGTTGAGAACCACTGCCTTAGCTTAATGTCCTGAAAAATTCTGCAACAGTAAAAGTATTCTAAATGCCACCCTAGTAGCTGTTTTAGACATTTACATTGATCTGTTGTGCAATGTTTACAATGGACACTGCACAAATGCCTCAGCTGTACTTCATGTTTAGCAAGCCTTGCAAATGTTGATATATTATCAGTAAACACTTGATTTTTATCCTCTTTTATATATTTATATACCCAGGGTCAGAAAAAATAATTCTCAGGTGAAAACGGGTCTCAAGTGGAAATGTTTTAAGAAGCCCTGTACCTTAATCTTCATGTCATCAATTGCATCCAAGACCCAGCCCACGGTGCCATCTCCGCCACAGACTAACACTCTAGCTGAATTGGAAGGCAGCCAGGTGCAAAGCTGGAGTGCTTTTGCTGGGGTGGTTTTGGTCAGTTCAAAAACCTGAAGAGATTTTAAAAAGAGTTTATTGCTAAGATGGAAATAATTTGTCTTCAGAGCTCAAATGCTGCCTCTGCTTCAAGAAAGCAAACCAATAATCCTGGTACGCTATCACTACAATGAACATTAATCTATGTAGTGATGCTCTACTCTTGTGTTTTTACAAAAGAGTCAATGTATTATTTGATACATCAGATGTGTTATGTTTTGAGACTATTTCAGATGTCGCTTGTTTGCACTGGCTTTCAAGAATTTGGCTTGCTTTGTGAGTTTCTGGCGAAGAGAACAAAGAAATTCAGCAGGAGTCTTGAGAAACAGCAGGCTTTGGTTGCTGCATCCTGTGCTATTCCCCCTTCTTGGCGTTGGAGCCCAAGTAACAATGCATTTCCCAAAAGAAAATTATTCTTTCTTATTCTAGCAAAGATTTAAGGAATATTCTAGTAAAGCCTCAAATTCGGAGAAATTATGGCGGAAGGAGAGAAGAACAGTACATATTTTCCTCTCTTTTTAAATATCTTTTACATCTCCCATTAAGTGCTCTCTTCTGTGGTTTATTATCAATTTGAACATGAAGGTCCTTCTATGTAACCAGTCAGAAAACATGCTGCAATAGTACTGCTACTATCCTGTAACAAGTACACACAGGTGGTTTTCTGTACATATTATATTAATTGCACAAATTTAATATTAAAAAAATACTTGCAAAACAAGCACACACAGGTTTCAATTAAAAAAAGTAAAGCATCCAACCCAAAAGAGTTAAAACAATGGGTGCATGTACACTGTAGAATGAAAGTGGTTTGATACCACTCAAACTGCCCTGGGTCAATGATATGGAATGGTAGGTTATAATTTGGTGAGGCACAACCCCCTTTGGCAGAGGTTAAAGACTGCTAAACTACAGCTCCCATGATTCCAAGCATTAAGTCATAGCAGTTAAAGCGCTGCCAAACTGCATTAATTCTACAATGTAAATAGCCCTATTGTGATGTATTTTTTGTGTGCAGAGAAAATATTTGCTGCCTGCCTTTTGATATTTTGTTAAGTACTGCCAGGCACTGGTCAATTCCCAAAACAAGTTCATGAAATGGCATGTCTGAACATTTAAACAGAGGTGCCACTGCATTGCTGCTGGTCATGTACAGAGCCTCCAATAGTGATCCAAGAAAACAAAACAGTCAATGTCACAAAAAATATAAAATAATAATGACCCACTAAATTAAGCCAATGACTCAGCCAGGAGATAATGTGGAGTCTGTAAATGTGGAACAATCTCTGATAGAAACCCTTCTGGAGCTCAGGCGTAAGGGGAAAACAATCCAATTAGTTGGTTAATCCACCTGCTGTTTCTTTTGCAAAGGCAGCAGCAACTGCCTTAAGAGAAAATCATTTGGAATAGAAATATGCTTTTGTATCAGCGCTAGGCACAATTGCATAAGACTGTTTAGTGTATTAAAAAAACCCAGGTTGCTAAAATTGTACATTTTCTCCTTTTATACATTCTCCGCCTGAACTCTGGCAATAGAAACAAGCTTCTGTCTTAGATTCAATAAGGTTAGGAGGAGATGTAAATGCCTGATTGCAGAGCCTTGAGCTGTTTTCATGTTATAAGGTGCCAGTTTGGGAGGGTTGCAAGATGATGTTCTGAGTTTTGTAACAAAAACGAATGGTGTGTTTAATAGAGGCATTACACTAAAGCATGGTTCAATATGTGATACCACAAGCTAGTGTAGCATAGTGCTTTGAGTGTTGGTCTAGGAATCTGCAAGGCAAGAGGTCAAATTCCAACTTAGCTATGGAAACGGAGTGGGTGACCTTGGGCAAACCATATACCCTCAGCCTCAAAGGAAGGCAGGAGCAAGCTTCCTCTGAACATACCTTGCCAAGAAAACCTCATAATAGGTTTGCCTTAGCATCTCCAGAAGGTAGCAATGACTTGAAGATGCACAAGAATAACAAGAAAGTTACTGGATATGATGTCCAGTATATATCATAAGGGGGTGAAAGCACTAAATATTAGGGTGATCAGAGGAATGTTAGGACACCAAGGGATTATTTAGAACGAGGTTCAGCTAGGATTATGGGGAGATAGTAACAAATTAATGAGATGTGTTACAGTCAGTACAATTTAGATGCATTAAATAACCAACAATAGCAACCAAGTCTTTAAACGCTATAACCACAAGCTTCTCTACACCAATTAATCTGTAACTATATGCTGAACTTCTGTTAAAAAAAGTATTATTGTATTTTACACCTTTGCTTCTGGGAACTGCTAAAATAGTCCTACCAGATGGGCTGGGTTCAGATACTGGGTTTTGAGACAGCAGCTGTGGTTGAAGGGGTGGTGGTACCCAGTGGTGGGGTTACAGGAACAGAGTCGCATGCAGGACCGATGAGAACATTCAGAAGTTCCCCTGTTTTGGTGCCATTCCAGTAGAACAAGTGTTTAGAAAAAGGTCTCCCCTTGGCCTAGAATGGCCCAGGAGTCTAGCAAAATGTAGCAAAAATGCCCTGTATTCCTATGAATAGCAATTTAAGGACAAAATATTTTTTGGGAAAAACTGTTGACTTCAGGGCATGCAAATGTGTTGGAAATTTCTCCTAAATCCCCTAGAAGGAATTTGGAACCAAAAAATTTCTTGTCTAAATATTTGGGTCAAGCTTTTCCTATTGTTGCCTAAAAGCAATGTTTTAGAAGTGATGTGAAATGAGTTGTTCTTTTATGAAGTGTTTCCCTTAAAAAGGAACACTTCAAGCTCTACTCACAACAACCTTAGCAAATGAAGCTGGGAGACTTTGGATGCATCTGTGCTATACAGTTAATACAGTCTGATACCACTTTAACTGTCATGACTCTGCCAGGGAATCCTGAGGTTGTAATTTTATAAGGTCTGTAGCTTTCTCTGCCAATGAGTGCTAATGCCTCACCAGATCACAACTCCCATGATTCCATAGCACTGAGCCATGTCAGTTAAACTGGTATCAGACTGAATACAGTGTAGATTCACACAATGATGGGTTTAGTGGGTGAACAGGAATTTGAAATCAGCCTGTAGCTCTAACCATGAGACTCTCCAGATGTTGCTGGAATACAACTCCCATTAGATCTAGTTAGTGTACCTAATGGTGAAGAATTGTAAAGGTTGCACTCTAACAACATCTAGAGGCCTACAGGATTCCCACTCCTACCCTAACCATTACACCATGCTGACTTTTACAGCACTATTCATCTTTTCTCAGGAGTCATACACATGTTCAATGGAGTTTATTTCTTAGAATATTTAGGATACAGCTAGATAAGGTCAGAATGATATATTAAGCTACTTTAATCTAAGTTTGATTTCTTACGTAAGACAACAGTTATGCTTTGCCTTACAATTTTATTAAATCAACAGTTACCTGAATAGGGTTTAGCAAGCTTTTAAATTGGCCCATCAATGTCTCCCCCATATTGTTTCCACTCCGAGTATTAGCCAGAACGATCAGAGGAGTCCAATTTTTCCCACAGCTGGAGACTAGCTGCAAAAGAACAACAACAAACACAAGTTATTTCTCTGTAACATAGCATAAAGGAAAAGGCACTGAATGCTTTCCCTTACTGTCTCTTCAACACATTGTTTGGAAGTTCCTAGTATTTTACATAAACTGGCTGGATATAGTTTTACGCCTGTTTACACTAGGTCAAATGCCACCAGTAGATTGAAGTTAGTCATGATATAACTAAAGTACCATTGAGTTCAAATGATCTAGTTTTTCTATAACCTAATATCTCTATATAGGCCTCACAACGACATTAAAATCAAGTTTATTATCCCTTTGGAATAGAGGAAGAGGAGGGAATAGGTTGACAAAGGCCTTGGAAAAAAAGAGGACTGCCCAGTATATTCTCTCAGTTCCTGGTGTGTACACTGCACAGAAAACATGTCTGCCAGTGAGCTATGGCTCCTTAAATCTGGTGATTTCCTTAGACAGCTTTCCAAAAGGTCTTAGGGATATAATATCTAGGCTAAAACTATTTTGTGTAAGAGCCACTAATTGTCCTTCAAGGAGCCAAGGCAACCCATATTGGAGATTTACTCCAGTCTATATACAATAGTTACTATTTCAACCAGGGCTTGTTCATTTAGTCTGTGCATTTTTTCATCCCCAATAAACAACTATCCACAAGTATGTCACAATGTTGTCTGAAGCATGTACATCTGATTATTAAATATCTTGTCATGTACTGGAAAAAGAAATGAGCGCTTAAACAAAATGAAGCACTCTTTTAGAAGGAAAACCCCTAAAGGCTGAAACTGGGTGGGAAGGTGTTTTGAGAGAGATTTCTGCTTGAGGGACATTTGTGATTGCTCTATTATCTCCTCTTGTAAACATGTTGTGAAGGTTTGTCCACTGTTTGAATATAGGAAACAAGGCCTTAGTCAAATCATTGGTCTACCTAGCCTTATATATTTGGCTCCAATATATTGAGCCTGAGTCCAGAATTCTAGGGGGAATAAGTTTAAATAGAATTGTGGTCCTATAACTGTGTAGTTCAAAAGGAACTCATATCAAGGACATCCACGCTCCTTTTCTTTTGTTCAATATACCTTGGCCCAAGCACAGACTATCTTGAATGGTATGGCTGTGGCTTGCTAGACACCTTAGCAAAACCCAGGAACCTGTCCAGCCTGCTATACTTTCAACATGCACCTCGATACCCATGGCTATCCAGGAACAAAGCAAGCTTTACCTTCCCATAGTCTGTGTGTTTGTCTTTACGCATCTGACTGACACTGAACAAGTAATATGGAGGGATGATGAGGTTGTGAAACTCTCCCAGTCCACACTGCTCATTTTTCAAGGAGCTCTGCATGCATTCATCATGTACTGTTTGCTGACACCAAATACACCTGGAAAGAAGGAGATATGGTTTGTTTTGTGTGCCTTCAAGTCATTTTTTTACTTATGGCATTCCTAAGATGAGGGTAAGATTTGTTTAGAGAGAGTACATCTTGGGCTTCCTTTGACTTGCCCAAAATCATCTAGTGGGTTTCCATGGCCAAGTGGAGATTTGAACCCTCGTCTCCAGAGCCATAGTCCAATGCTCAAATAACTACACCACACTGGCCTGAACTCAATTGACTAAATGCTTTATTTCTAGACAGCTAGAGAAAAATTGACATTTTCAATAGGCTTGATGAAACAAAATAGGTGGACCTACAGTCAGCACAGGTTAGTCAACAACATAAAAAACGATAACTTCTCTCTGGGTCTACAGTCTATTTATTTATCAGTTCACAAAGATTCTGAAGAATGTGGTAAGTCATCCCCGACCCCTTCTCCAAAGCATCCTACTCATTTTTTCCCCACTGTCTACAAGATTTCATCATCTACATAACTCAAGAGAAAAGGAGAAACCTTAACCTCAAATACGAAAGTCATGACATCAAATAACAGAAGTGGACAACTGCTATTTCAGGTGTAACATTTACAGCTAAGTAATCTAGGCAGAGCTCAGCCAGGCTAACAATACCACAAAATTAAAAGGGAAAAAAACCCCAGAAGATTCATCTCTGGCTTTGTTTTCTTTTTTCTTGATAGGTGCCTTATGCTCTATTGAAACCATCAACTGAAAAACAATTCTTTTTTTTAAGGTTACAAAACTGGCCCAGGGAAGAAGCTGTGAGAAGCCCTTGGCTATAATTTGGCCACTCTCTACTTTCCTTCCTCACTTCAACTCAAGATCAAGGACCAATTCCCACTATACAATTATAGTACTACTAGCAGTGCCCTGCCACGCGTTGCTGTGGCCTATAGTAAAACTTATCAAAGTTGAGGTAGATATCTGGACTATTATGAAAGAGAGGTACCTACCTATTCCTTCCCCCTTTTCCTCCCCCTTTCTCTCCTTTCTTCCTTCTCTACCTCTTTCTTTCTTTCCTTCTTTCACTACTTGGTTTCATACTTCTCTCTTTCCTTCATTCCCTCCCCCTTTCTTCCTTTGCCTTTCTTCCCTCCCTGTTTGCTTCCTTCTTTCACTTTTTATTTCCTTTTATTTCACCACCATCATAACAATAACAATAATGCAATGCATTGCCTCTGGGACCTGACACCTCTCCCATTCCCCCTAAAAGGGTCTCATAGGAATAATAATAATAATAATAATAATAGAAATAACAACCTTTACCCGCCACGTGTTGCTGTGGCCAATCTTCCCTCTTTCTCTCCTTCTTTCCCTCCTTCCTTCCTTCCTTCCTTCCTTCCTTCCTTCCTTCCTTCCTTCCTTCCTTCATCTTTCCTTCTCTTCTTCCTTCCTTCTCTATCTCTTTCCTTCCTTCCCCCTTTTTCTTTCTCTTTCCTGTCTCTCTTTCCTTTTTCTCTTTCCTCTTCTTTCTCTTCTGCTTTGTCTCTTTTCTTCCTTCTCTCTTTCCTTCTTTCCTTCCCTCCCTCTTTCTCTACATCTTCGCCCCTCCTTCACTCCCTCTTTCCTTCCTTCATTCCCTTTTTTCTTTCCTTCTCTCCTTCCTTTCTTCTCCCTTTTTCTTTCCCTCCCTCTGTCTCTCATTTCTTCTCTACCTCTTTCCTTCCTTCCCCCTTTTTCTTTCTCTTCTGCTGTCTCTCTTTTCTTTCCTTCCATCTTTCCTTTTCTTTCCTTTTCTTCTTCCTTCTTTCTCTAACTTTCCTTCCTTCCCCTTTTCTTTACCTCCCTTTCTCTTTCTTCCTTCTTTCCTTCCTTCCTGTCTTTCCTGGATTTTGACAGGGCGGGAAGGGGCGGGGTGGGGTTTGGAGGTGGCGTGAAGTAAAAGGAGGTAAGATTGGGGCAGGGGAGTGATGGAGCGTGGGGTTGTGTGTGTGTGTGGCGGCGGGGGGAGTGATGGAGCGTGGGGTTGCGTGTGTGTGTGTGGGGGGGGGGGAGTGATGGAGCGTGGGGTTGCGTGTGTGTGTGCGGCGGCGGGGGGAGTGATGGAGCGTGGGGTTGCGTGTGTGTGTGCGGCGGCGGGGGAGTGATGGAGCGTGGGGTTGTGTGTGTGTGTGTGGCGGCGGGGGGAGTGATGGAGCGTGGGGTTGCGTGTGTGTGTGCGGCAGCAGGGGGGAGTGGGGTTGCGCGTGTGTGTGTGGCGGTGGGGGGAGTGATGGAGTGTGGGGTTGTGTGTGTGCGTGCGGCAGGGGGGGTGTGTGTGCGGGAAGCGGCGCGGCGGGGCTTGGAGTGGGCATGGCTTCCGCAGAGGGAACGTTGGCCGGAAGACTGTGCGCGCGCCAGGGAACTTGCGGCTGGGCACCAATGCGCATGCTCAGTTGTTTTGCCGTTTTGTGAGTGTGTTGTTGTGTTGTTTTTCATTTTGAGTAGATATGTTTGTACCTTGTGGGTTGTGTTATGGGCATGGGAATTTTGGTTAAGTTTCGTTGGGGGTTTGTGAGTTTTGTTGTTTTGCCGTTTTGTGAGTGTGTTGTTGTGTTGTTTTTCATTTTGAGTAGATATGTTTGTACCTTGTGGGTTGTGTTATGGGCATGGGAATTTTGGTTAAGTTTCGTTGGTTTTTTTTAGTTTTGTTGTTTTGCCGTTTTGTGAGTGTGTTGTTGTGTTGTTTTTCATTTTGAGTAGATATGTTTGTACCTTGTGGGTTGTGTTATGGGCATGGCAATTTTGGTTAAGTTTTGTTTTTTTTTGAGTTTTGTTGTTTTGCCGTTTTGTGAGTGTGTTGTTGTGTTGTTTTTCATTTTGAGTAGATATGTTTGTACCTTGTGGGTTGTGTTATGGGCATGGCAATTTTGGTACAGTTTCGTTGGGGGGTTGTGGAGTTTTGCTGTCCGGTTGAACCAACCTAACAGATTTATATATATAGATGATTCCACTTCAACTGCCATGGTTCCAACCTACAGAAATCTGGAGTTTCCATTTTAATCAGAAGCACTAGAGCTCTCTGGCTGAGAATCTTTAATATCCATCTCTGAAGCTAGAGTGGAATCATAGTGCTCTAATTTTGTAGTGTGACTGGGTCAGAGGCATCAAGTCAGGTTTGCCTCTTTTCTCTCACTCTTTTATTACATTTTGCCTAATGAAACAATTTGGAAATCTCAAAAGCTTTCACAGATTTGTGTGCCTTTTCTTAACAAATATGAGATAGTTTGTGGAATTCTAAACCAGACAGAAAAATATACATATTAATGCCTTATGTTTTTTCTTTCTCGCTGGGAAAGGCACATTGCGTACTTTGGTACAAACTTATTAATATTAAAAGATTGCGAAAAGCTACATATTTGAGATTCACAGAGTGAATGAAGTCCTTAATTCACACTGAACAAGCTAGTCTACCAAGAGGAAACTGTTAAGTCAAATTTGGCTGAAAACTTAAGAGGCATTTGGCACAATGACTTAAGAACCACAGGGGGGAAACGGTTCAGGGATCCAAGAGAAACAATTCTTAGAAACAACTCTTTTGACTTCCAAGCCTCTGATGGGCCATGTTTGGCCCATCAGGTGAACATGGCACTTTCTTAGGGCTTACTGTAGCCTTCTAGAATTTGGAAAAGGGTTCCAACTTCAGATCTGCAATGGCAATTGACTGAATTTACTGACTGTTTAAACTCTGTAGAGCCAAACAACAATGTTAAAGCACAGCAACTGAGAAGAGGATGTTCTCTGAGAGAGCCAAGAGCTACTCAGTTCAGGAGAAGGAGGAGTGAGGAAGGCGTGAGGGATCCATGGGGGGGGGGGGGGGGAAAGAGGCAATGGAAAGAACAGTGAAGTAGGGTTGTTGTAGGTTTTTCAGGCTTATAGAAGACCCATTGATTCTGGCCATGAAAGCCTTCGACAACCAATTTCACACTGGTCTACGTTAAACCTGGAAAGGTACTCATTTTGGACTACAATCCACAAATTCCCCCAACTAGCATGGCCACTATAGCTTTGTGCTATATATAAGATGTTCTATTATTCATCTGCCATTCATGTTGCCTATGTGTGTCCAAAGCCTAGATACTCTAGTGCCAAAGCAGGATCTCAACTTAAGAATGCAATTTGCGAGGGCCAAAAAGCAGAAGTGGCTATAGTATGGCCCATTATAATCTGCTGGAGAGGTGAGACTGTTATTATCTATGCAAAGAGGCCATTGTCAAAGCTCTTGATGCTATTTTTACTGTCCTCAGTGCTATTCCAATTGTAAAATAGAACAGCTGGAGCACCCTCCATTTAGCTACAGATACACCAGCATTCTGAACAGGCAATTATTTCACTGATTAAGGATTTGATATTCCTAACAACTCATTTTGGTACACAGCTGTAACATTATTATAACATCTAGCAGCTCCACTTTTAATATATTAAGCATATTATAAAACTCTTTAAAGCGTTGTTATTTGAACCATAACTTTCAGTACCAGGGACCTCATTTGGCAGCAGCACCACCAAATCTCCTTAGCATGTGCAAAGAAATACCTATGATATATTTATTGTCTCATATGTCTCATCAAAAATCAGAAAAATAGATCAGTTTCCTCTCTGCTTATGCACTTTTGGCTTTTGAGTGCATTCCATGAGGAGGAGTGTCACACAAGCCAAAGAGACTTCAAAACATGACACTCCCATATGATATCCTGAAAGTGTGCGAACAAGTGTTTGGTTCTCCTTCTTGACTCCTCCCTCACAAATACACTTTTTCTATTCCTATCTCATCCAGGGTTTTATCATTTTATCTTGTGCATTCGGCCCAACCTTTGTGTTTGACTTTTATTATGTTATTTTGCACTGTTTATTTTATTTTGCTACTTTATGTATTTTGTTGTGATGTAATTTTTCTGTTCGTTTGTATTTTATTTTGCTGCATTGTATGTTTTGGGCTCGGCCTCATGTTAGCTGCCCTGGGTCCCCTTCGGGGAGATGGTGGCAGGGTGTAAATAAAGATGATGATGATTTTATGGTGGACTTCAGTACCCATTAGCCCTAGTCAGCAATGCCAGTGGTTATGGATGATAGAATTGTGGCCACATCTGGAGAAACATGGGTTCTTCATCCTTGTGTTAGGTTAATTTTTTGTCTGAAACACAGGTGTATGAAAGACAGCACATATATTTCAAGAGTGAACTTCCTGATCCATTTCAAAGATTACCTTTTCCGATACAGTGTTTTATAATCAGTTGACACACCTTAATTTCTATTACTATAAAGCTTTCACTGAAAATGCTTTAAAAGGTTATTCAGCATGCTCCATGTTGAAAGCACCACATGAAACAGGGTAATAGTGGATGCTATTCATCAGAACTGTGAAAAATACTAAAGCAAGGTAGAGCACATGCAGTATTTTACAAAAGACCTGCCAGAGGCCTTTTATTTGTACTTTCACCTGTCAAATGAGAATAACCTCTAGGATTATGGTTACAAATGATTCCATGACTTAGGTAATGAGATGTTGACCAGTGCTTCCATGTTCCAAAAACAACTCAACTTCAATACAGTAAACAGCATTGTTTACGGTTTTCTTTGTATGGTACTTTTAAAGGAGGATGAGGGGCAGACAGTGGGTGATCCAATATCAAAAGAGGACAGCAGGTTTCCCTTCTTTTTTACAAGATTTTCAAAAAGAATATTTTGGCAAACACAGTTTTCCCAAATCTCACCTGACAAGTCAATAATCTCTGTCAAAATCCTTTCTTCTAGACAATCTAAGTACTGTTTTATTCACTAAAATAATAGCTCTGTCTTTCTAGGCACCCTAAAGAGAGAAAAGGATGTATGACTACAGATGAAGAAATAAATTTGTGATGTATGAAGAGATTGCAGGTGGTCCAGCATAAAAAAGGACTGCTGTGCTAAAGTGTTATGAAAAACAGTCCGAAGTTGTAGAAAGTAAGATAAAAACACCATCATTGGATCTGAAGTTTGTATCACACAACCACTCTCTGAGAAGAGAGTTGCATATTATCACAAGCAGGGAACAGATTTACCATGAAAAGATGCCTGCAGAGCAAGTACTGCTTTAAAGAAGGAATAGGGACTACTGAGCAAGATGAAAGAAATGTATCAAATGAAAGGAGCTCTGCCCAGAATCCCATCAGCTTGTTTGGTGGGCAATCCCTGAGTAGGTTGCTAACAGTTCAGGAACAGAGTACCACAAAATAAAGGATTGCATCCTACATTACATACCTTACATACATTGGTAAAATAAACACTTGTAATGTGTTGCTGTGCACCTTCAAGTCATTTCCAACTTTAGGGTTTTTTTCCCCTTCGTGTCAGGAGCAACTTGAGAAACTGTAAGTCGCTTCTGGTGTAAGAGAATTTGCCGTCTGCAAGGGCTTTGCCCAGGGGACGCCCGGATGTTTTACCATCCTTGTGGAAGGCTTCTTTCATGTCCCCGCATGGGGAGCTGGAGCTGACAGAGGGAACTCATCCACGCTCTCCCCAGATTTGAACTTCTGACCTGTCGTCTTTGCTCCTGCCTGCACAAGGATTTAACCCACTGAGCCTCCGGGTGCTCCGGGAACTTATGGTGAGTCCAATAAAAACCTGTCATGGGGTTTTCATAGCAAGATTTGTTGTTTGGGGGGGGGGGTGTCATATCTGAGGCTGAGAGAGTGCAATTAGTTTAAGACCACCTACTGGGTTTCCAAGGTCAATCAGCTGCTGAGCTGCTGAACTTGCTGACCGAAAGGTTGGCAGTTTGAATCTGGGGAGCGGGGTAAGCTGTGTTAGGCCCAGCTTCTGCCAACCTAGCAGTTCAAAAGCATGCAATGTGAGTAGATCAATAGGTACTGCATCGGTGAGAAGGGCACCCCATGCAGACATGTCAGCAAAAATATTGGATATATTTATGGACAGCAGGCTCCTTTGCATGAAAAATCAAACAAGAGCACCTCCCCATGGCTGGAGTTGAGCATTGCCTCCAGACACCAGAGAAAAAAAAGGGGAAGACTTTTACCTTATCTGTGTATTGTATGTCATTGTTCGTGTAAATAGCATTGAATGTTTTCCTTATATGTATACTGTAATCCACTCTGAGTCCCTCCGGGGAGATAAAGTGGAATATAAGATTATTATTATTATAATTATTATTATTATTGTTTCACAGCAAAGTGGAATGATACATTAGCACCAATGCACATATACAATGAACCCTAAATTAGCTAGGCAGCTAGCACTAATGGGGCTGAGGCACCAAGAAGAGCATGTACCTTGTACACAAGGTCCTAAAATGAACAGGTGAAACTGTTGATAAGTGAAACCACATGTACTGGTTCTGTGAAATAATCACCTCTAACTTCCCAGTCCTTGATCCTACCTGGACAGCTAAAAAAGTTCCTTCTATAGTCTGAAGCCAACTCTTCATGATCTCAGAGATTTCTGCATAAACCTGGTTAATCCTCAAGAGCATCAAGGGAGAAAACCTAATATTGCCACTCTTGTTTTACTTCAAAATTTGAGATACATTTTGCAGATTTGTCCTCCCCTTTATTACCTGTAATCACACAGCTTGGGCTGGGTACCACACTGCTGCTTGCACACAACACAATAGCTGCACAGCGGGACGTTGCCTCGGATCCAGTGGTGCACCATAGAAGTCCGGATGCTGCCTTCTCCCCTCGTCATGATTTCCTTGCAGTGGAAACGACGGTCAGCTTTCTTCAGGCACTCTTCATCCACACAAAGCCCACAGCAGTTGCAGAAAGCGCCCTGAAGGATGTGCTGAGCGCAGATGCAGCAATAGGTCGGCTGGCTGAAGAGGTCGGTGTCTTGCCAGTCATGCTTTCTTTTGCGCAAGATATCCTGCACTTGGCCTTGCCGCCGGGATCGCCGGAAGCTGCACCACAAAGTGAGCAGGATTGGCACGATCACAGCACACAGTGTCCAGAAGGCGAGACTCCATTCTGGAAACAGTCCTGAAGGGGAAACCGAACTATGGGTTTTAACCTCTTCCATCCTTTGGGGGTTTATTTTGCCCTTGGGGTGTCAAATTCAACCAGAAATGAGACAGCTAACCTACAGCAGGTTGCACTAGAGTTCTCCTGCTATTATAATTACATTCCATCAATAGCTTGGATCAGCAGTATCTTCTTAATGACTCTATCAATCTAATAACACTTTCCTGGAGTCCTCTTCATCACCTCTTGAAACACAAGCTCACTTTTTCCTTTAATGTGACACTGCTAAAATTATACTTAAACATCTCTTTCCTGAAACTAAAGATCCTTCCTTTTGAGCACCCTACAGAGACAGACTTAGCCACAAGTCTCTACACTATTGCCATATCTCTACCTCCTGTCTTATTAATATGTTCACCTCTTCTTGCTTTTTCTGGAAGTGACATGCTCCAAAACACTTCATGCTACTTTTTTTACGACAGTTCATCACTTTAGCTGATCTCTAAAGACAAACGGTCCAATGCAAAACCACCTGAATTTAAAAAAATTACAATAATTAAGCACATTCCACCTGTTTACTAAAAATAATACTATCTTGTTCCTCTCTTTGTAATATGTACAATGCTACCTTGTTCCTTACTCTGTACTCATACAAATCCAACTAATGAAGCATAATTCAGCCCCCGTCCTGGTTTCCAATCAAGACAGTACGAGGATGAATTCCAATCTGAGTTATGCATTGTGGGTCAGGATATTGTGGCAGCTTCCAATGAAGTCATCTGAAATAAAAACACATTATTTTTGAGAGGGAGAAAAACACCAGACTTTTGCAAACACCACTGTAACACCACACAGGCAACTTGGGGTACCTTGTATCTTCATCACACTCTGTCCCTAATTCAGCTAGGAACATCACCAATAGTGAATCATTATATTGTTGAGAGTGCAATAACATGAAGGACTGAAGGTCAAGGGGTGTACCTAACTAGGCATGGGCAACCTTCAGCCCTCCAGATGTTTTGGACTACAACTCCCACAATTACTAACAGCCTATCAGCTGATGGGAATTGTGGGAGTTGCAGTCCAAAACACCCGAGGGCCCAAATTTGCCATGCCTGACCTACACTGTAGAATTAACAGCTTGACACCACTTTAACTGCCATGGCTCAATGCTGTGAAATCACGGAATTTGTAGTTTGGTGAGGCACCAGCAGTCTTTGGTACAGAAGGCTAAAGAGCTTGTAAAACTACAACTTCCATGATTTCATAGCACTGAGTTAAGGCAGTTAAAAGTGGTGTCAAACTGCATTTGTTCTACAGTGTAGATGCACTCGAGAATGACTCTGAAAAGGCAATAGGTAAAAGGGTTAAACACTGTGAGTGACTCATAGTGTCCTTCCACCATGTCTACCTATCCTGACCTCTTTTTGATGTACATTTATATTCTTAGGAATTTTCCCCTAGTTCTTCTCTTCCAATCATCCCCCTCCTTGCTCTTCTGTTGAAGAGATTAGATTAGCACTCTGAGTAACTTTCCTATCTCAGAGTATAATAAACTCTTTACTTTGATTTCTCTAAGTCACAGTTTGCCAAACTGTGTTGCAACAACTTAGCGTGTAGGTATGTTGTGTGATTTTAACGGGAAAAGACAAATGTATGTTATTATCTTACAAATCATTTTAAAAATATATAAATCAAAGGTTTCCATGAGATATGTTGTGAGCCCATATATTTCGTCATTACAATGTATGCATGTGTTGTATTTCTTCTAAGGGGTTGGTTCAACCTCTGCTTTGCTAGTAAAGCCACTGGCTGCTGATAAGTTTCTGGTTCCAATTCAAAGTGAAGTTTATGACCTCCAAAGCCCTACATGGTTCAGGCCCCACCTATCTTCGTGATTGCATCCCCTATGAACCAGAAGAGGCTCTAAGATCCGCTGGGGAGACCCTCCTTTTGCTTCCACCACCGTCACAAGCACAGTTGGTGGGGATAAGGGAGAGGGCCTTCTCAGTGGTGCCCCCCCCCCCGACTCTAGAACACCCTCCCTAGAGAGATTAGGCAACCCCCCCTAGTTTATAAATGCCCAGTCCTTTGGTCGCTAGACAGTACTCTGTTTTCTGCACTTCATCCAGCCCTATGGTATGCTGTTTTGCACTAAGCTCTTTACAGCTTGGTCACGCCCATTTTAGATATTTTGGATCATTGTGTTTTGTAGAACACTGTCTGACTGAACTTCAATGTTGCTGTTTTATGCTCTTATGTTTAATTGTGTTTTTATCTGGTTGTTGTATTTTATTATGTTCTTATTTTAATGTTTTTGTTTTGTTTTGATGGATTGTTTTGTTTTATGGCTTACGGGCATTCTGTCCCGTGGAGCCCCTGGTGGTACAATGGGTTAAACCCATGTGCCGGCTGAGCTGCTGTCCTGAAGATCGGCAGTTTGAATCCACGAGATGGGGTAAGCTCTCGTGTGTCAGTCCCAGCTTCCCATGTCGGAGCCCCCAGTGGCACAGTGGGTTAAACCCCTGTGCTGGCAGGACTGAAGACCGACAGGTCGCAGGTTCAAATCCGGGGAGAGCGCGGATAAGCTCCCTCTATCAGCTCCAACTCCTCATGCGGGGACATGAGAGAAGCCTCCCACATGGATGGTAAAACATCAAAACATCTGGGAGTCCCCTGGGCAACGTCCTTGCAGATGGCCAATTCTCTCACATGAGAAGCGACTTGCAGTTTCTCAAGTCGCTCCTGACACGACAAAAAAAAATGTGGGGACATGGAAACCTGGGCAACGTCCTTGCAGATGGCCAATTCTCTCACACCAGAAGTGACTTGCTGTTTCAGTCCTGACATGAAAAAAAATTCTGACCCGTATGTAAGCCGTCCCGAGTTCCTTCTGGGAGATGGTGTTGGGGTATAAGAATAAAGTTGTAGTTGTTGTTGTGTCGAGAAATGATGCAGGTCTAAAAAGTGTGTCTCCAAGTCTGGAAAGCTCTTGTCCAGTGGTTCTCAACTGGGGTCCCCAGATATTTTTGGCCTACAACTCCCAGAAATCCCAGCCAGTTTACCAGCTGTTAGGATTTCTGGGAGTTGAAGGCCAAAATCATCTGGGGACCCCAGGTTGAGAACCACTGCTCTGGTCTATGTCACTGATGCCTTTGCTCCTCAGTGGGGATCTCTGACCCCTGCCTGCACTCTATCTCAGATCTGGGCGATGTAATCCAGTGGGCCACTTGTGCCCATGTCCCTGGAAAAGGGCCCTGCAGTGTGGGCCCTGTGGGGGACAGCAGCATGACACACCTCTTTGGTATGACCCTGTGACTGATGAGCAGGCCATGGAGAGGGGAAGCACGTGGCTGGTGCAATGCAGCTCCCATCAGCCAGAGGAAGGCCAGGCATGAGGCGAGTGGCGGTACCACCAAGAGGGGGCGCTCTGGCGCTCCTGCCCTCTTCCGCCATCGCTCTCCAGGGATACCTGCCTACTGCCTAGCCCTACTGTAATGAGGGCTGGGATGAAGACCTCTTCCTCAAGATCATCCCCCTTCCTCTGCCTCCTCCAAGCCACACACATGCCCCCTCCTCCTCCTCCCCAGCCCTCCTTACCCGGCTCACGATCTCCACCAAGCACCGTTGATCGCCGGAACCGGAAGTGGCCGAAGCCACAGACTGAGCTTCTCTGAACCAGAAGGGAGGGGGGAGGAAAGGGGCGTGATAGGAGGGAAGCGCTGATGGGCGTTGCTAGGAAACGGGTAGCCAATGGCAAGCCGCCGATTCCAAAGAGGGCGGGAAACCAGATCCTAGCAGGTCCTGGGTGGGGAGAAGAGGGAGCCAAGGCGCCAAGGAGGGCAAGGAAGGGAGGAATGGCTCTGTTTTCTTTATTTGCACCCCGCTTTCCTCTCTTGGACGAGACCACAGCAACTCAAGAGTTGTTAGGGAATCAGGGAAAGAAATGTCTCTCATACACGTGTGTTGTTGTTGTTCATTCGTTCAGTCGTCTCCGACTCTTCGTGACCTCATGGACCAGCCCACGCCAGAGCTCCCTGTCGGCCGTCACCACCCCCAGCTCCTTCAAGGTCAGTCCAGTCACTTCAAGGATGCCATCATCCATCTTGCCCTTGGTCGGCCCCTCTTCCTTTTGCCTTCCACTTTCCCCAGCATAATTGTCTTCTCTAGGCTTTCCTGTCTCCTCATGATGTGGCCAAAGTACTTCAACTTTGTCTCTAGTATCCTTTCCTCCAGTGAGCAGTCCGGCTTTATTTCCTGGAGGATGGACTGGTTGGATCTTCTTGCAGTCCAAGGCACTCTCAGAACTTTCCTCCAGCACCACAGTTCAAAAGCATCTATCTTCCTTCGCTCAGCCTTCCCTAAGGTCCAGCTCTCACATCCGTAGGTTACTACAGGGAATACCATGGCTTTGACTAGGCAATGGATCTTGGTTGCCAGTCTGATGTCTCTACTCTTTACTATTTTATCGAGACTGGACATTGCTCTCCTCCCAAGAAGTAAGCGTCTTCTGATTTCCTGGCTACAGTCTGCATCTGCAGTAATCTTCGCGCCTAGAAATACAAAATACAAAGTCTGTCACGTGTATGTATGTATATAAAAGGTAAAGGTTTTCCCCTGACATTAAGTCCAGTCATGTCCGACTCTGGGGGTTGGTGCTCATCTCCATTTCTAAGCCGAAGAGCTGGCATTGTCCGTAGACACCTCCAAGGTCGAAAACATGCCAATGTGAGTAGATCAATAGGTACTGCTCTGGCAGGAGGTAATGGCGCTCCATGCAGTCCTGCCGACCACATGACCTTGGAGATGTCTACGGACAACGCTGGCTTAGAAATGGAGATGAGCACCACACCCCAGAGTCAGACATGACTGGACTTAATGTCAGGGGAAAACCTTTTCACACTAGAGGAGGGGTAGGGAACCTTTGGCCCTCCAGCTGTGGTGGACTTCAACTCCCACAATTCCTTGAGGCTCGGCATTGCCAAAGGCTTACCTTGGCCCAATGCCGAGCCTCAAGGAATTGTGGGAGTTGAAGTCCACCACAGCTGGAGGGCCAAAGGTTCCCTACCCCTGCTGTACCGTAAACCTTTTATCGACTTATTTATTTATCGTGTCATCCGCAACCAGAACATTGTATTACATTTCTAACAGAACAAAACAAACAAACAGATAAAAAACACAAATTTTGCAAACTTGGTAGCTGATTAAATGTCCTTTGACCAGTATCTGGCCACTTGGAGTGCCTCTGGTGTTGCCGCAAGAAGGTCCTCCATGGAGGCAAGGCTCAGGGTGCATTGCAGCAGGTGGTCAGTGGTTTGCTCTTCTCCACACTCGCATGTCGAGGATTCCACTTTGTGGCCCCATTTCTTGAGGTTGGCTCTGCATCTCGTGGTGCCAGAGCGCAGTCTGTTCAGCGCCTTCCAAGTCGCCCAGTCCTCTGTGTGCCCAGGGGGAGTCTCTCATTTGGTATCACCCACGGATTGAGGTGCTGGGTTTGAGCCTGCCACTTTTGGACTCTCGCTTGCTGAGGTGTTCCAGCGAGTGTCTCTGTAGATCTAAGAAAACTATTTCTTGATTTAGTCGTTGACGTGCTGGCTGATACCCAAACAAGGGATGAGCTGGAGATGTCTCTGCCTTGGTCCTTTCACTATTGGCTGCTACTTCCCGGCGGATGTCAGGTGGTGCGATACCGGCTAAGCAGTGTAATTTCTCCAGTGGTGTAGGGCGCAGACACCCTATCGACTTGATTTGATATTAATATTGAAGTACAGCAATTAAAAGCAAATTAAGACTAATAAAGACAAATGTAAGCTAATGTAACACATTTTCCCAGTTTTACTGGATTCTAAAGACACCTACCTGAGTTCTAGGTGCTTGAATTCTGGTTAACTGAGAGTCTATTGTGCATAGATATGTAAACACACAGATACATACACAGGCATATACAGACACATTTTGTAATTTTTTGTTGTTATCTACTTCAAGTCAACTTTGATTGATGGCAATCCTTTGAATGAAATACCTACAATCTTCCTGGCTTTTAAATATCTTGCTTAGGTATTGCAAATACCTTGCTTGGGTCTTCTTGACAGTCCTTTCCTTCTTACTTGTAATACAATCTCCCTTTTTTCAAATTGTCTCCCACTTCACAAAGTATTATGGGCTTTTCCAAAGAGTCACATCACGTCATGATAGGTATGTCTAATGTACACTTACTGGTAAATAAATGGCATGCTTTAAAATAAATATTAATAAGAGGCTCCAAGATGAAACTTATTAAAATTGCTCCATTATTAAGGTGGCTCCGGTGTCAGTGTCAGGTGAATCTATTCCAGGTTTTGTTTAATGCTAAGAAGTAATAATAATAATAATAATAATAATAATAATAATACTATTTGTACTCCATGCCCTCTCCCAAAAGGGACTCAGGGCAGCTTACAACAAAAATGCAATATACATAGTAATAATAGCAACCAAAACAAACACAGTTAATCACGTTTTTTCGTGGTGCAGCACCTTGGAAAGCTCTTTTAAAGCATAGATTAGCACTGCAGTGGGCTCACCATCACACTGACATGCGAGGTGTCCTGAATGTGAGTGGATATATTGGAAGTGCTGGCCTAAGGTTATCCAATTATGATTTATTTGTCTTGCACTCTTAAAATCCACTGTGAAAGCAACTAAATGCTGTGACTTAGCATGGTCCAAGAGAAATTCGGAAGGTATGTTCTTCCTATGGGTATTCAAAAGGATTGACCACTTATTTCAAGATGCTCTACTAAGGAGAGAGAGAGAGACAATGTCTGAGTGTTGGACTATGATTCTGGAGACCTGGTTTAAATCCCCACTCTGCCAAGGAAACATACTGGCTAATTAGTGGGAAGTCACACTTTCTCAGCCTCGACGAAAGCAAAAGCAACCCCTTTCTGAATATCTCTTGCCAAGAAGACCCAATGATAGGTTCACCTTAGAGTTGCAATATATCTAAAATGGGTTGAAGGCACACAACACCATGAGTGTGCCTTAAGGAAAAAGCACTCCACCATGTGATTATTTTTATATTTCTGTCGGAACCTAAGCCTATGTTAGATTTGTGCACAAACAATTTTTCAATTCAAATGTGAGAAGGAAAGCATTTCTACATGGTATCATGGTGATATGATTGTTTCATTTCCCAACTGGCAGTAGTCTCTTCTATCCTAGGGGCTTTATGCAGAACAATATGATCCCGTGGAAAGAAATGGTTTTTAACTTGGATTACTGTCTCTTGTATCCTGTGAGGTTTTAGGCAGAACAATAGGATCCCATGTAAAGAAATGGTTTAAACCTGGATCATTGTCTCTCGTATCCTATGGGGTTTGAGGCAGAACAATAGGATCCCATGGAAAGAAGTCATTTTAAACTGGTGTCAATCTCCTTTAATATCAGGGGCTTTGGTTTTTTTGATATTGTTGTTTCTCCTGATTAAAAAAAGTGATTCTGACCTTGTGATGAATGTAAGATGAATGTATTGCCAGCTCTTAAGTTTCCATGTGTGAGTGTGAATGTGAGTGTGATGGGGAGGCAGAACTCAAAAGGGGACTGCTGACAATATAAGAGGGGCAATTCTCAATGCTAGAAAGGGGGTCACCCATGCTTTCCCCCTCCATGTGATGAGGTGGTCATGCAGTTAGACACTGCTCTAACTACCATGGCTCAATGCTATTTAATCATTGGAGTTGTAGTTTGGTGAGGCACCAGCTCTCTTTGATAGAGAAGTTTAAAGACCTTGTAAACCTACAACTCCAGGAATCCATAGCACTGAAGTATCGTGGTCAAAACAATGTCAGTCTGCATTAATTCTACATTGTAGATGTACCTTTAGTTACATTTACTTGAGTCTCTTTCAGGTCAGTAGTAACTAGAGACCATTGTTGCTGGTGCAGAGTGGACCATCAATGGTAAAGCACTCATATGAATTCCCAGCATGAAATTTCACAGAAAGGGAAAGTGAGGCTCATGAAGTTTCACACCATGGTGGGGATGGAGATAGGGAATTAAAGAAGCCACACAAAAGCAGGTTCTCCCTGCCATGTTCTGATTCAGGGGGAAAAACTTTGCACCATACAGAAACCAAGTGATTTCCTTATTATTAGTGCAAAACTAAGGCGATGGCTCCACAGCCCATAATGGTATATATGACTATATGTGTGTCGTTTGTGTATGTGTGTCTTATATACTGTCAGTGTTGCCCATTTTTATTGTAAACCGCATTGAGTCGCCGTCTCAGGCTGATAAATGCGGTATACAAATGGAGTAAATAAATAAATAAATAAATACCTATATCCATTGTTAAAAGGCACAGAAAAAGCACCGTTGTATAGGCATGGAATAATAACAGTCATCAACATTCAAGAAATCAGACTGTAATTTTTGGCAGATTTTGTTAAAATGAATCTGTAAACCTTTTTTTTCTTCCAAGCATCTGTTTAGAATGCTGTTCATTCTAGAGGAAATTGGTTGGTACCTGATGACTGAGCCAGTATGGAAGAAAAAAATATTTCTTATCTGCCTCTCTCCATGGATCAAGGTGGGGAAAAACAACAGGTTATAACACACCACAGAACATACATTAAAACACATATCTTCAGTTATGTAGTGGTTTGAATATTGGACTACAATTCCTGCTTGGTCACAGAAGTCCACTGATGATCTTGGGCAACCCGCGATTTCTCATTCTCAGATGACAACCTTGCCTCTAAAAAAATATTGCCAAGAAACCCCTATTATTATTATTATTATTATTATTATTATTATTATTATTATTGAAAACAGGTCCCAAAAATGAGGAATGGATGGATTTCCTCACAAGGTCCCACTCTACCCTTTCTCCCCAATCCAAACAAAACCCACACAGAGCCTTCCTCAGTCATCTGGCCCCAAGTTTGCATAAGCACCACACATTGCCATCACATGCTTGCACCATCACTATAAGCAGGGATCAGTCTCAGCTGTTTCTCCTGCGTATGAAAAGCCAATTCCTTTACCTCCTCATCCCTTCATCATATCAGACAAATCTGATCAAAGTTCCTAAGCGCCCATTGTCCCCAAATTCCAGGAACCATCAGGATGCCAGGAATCCCATTAACCCAGACTTGGGAGTTGAGTCCTCAGGGATAATTCTCTCAAGTGTCCATTAACTCCCAGATGTTCCCAAATTCATTTCCCAGAATCTTCCAGGTAGGCGGACACATCAAGCAACAGATGAACTTCAAATTCAGCCAATAAAAGTTTATTGAAATTTCCACCAGAGTGCTCAGCCAATCATCGACGGAGATTCATGGAGCATTAGACTTGCTGGCGATCCGCGGCCAGCAATGGGCAAACCTCTATGTCCAATGAAACCACAGATCCTGAAACCTTCACCAATCTGCTCTGTTCTTCATGTTCCCAAATTTTTCTTATAAAATATCCAGGTTTGGGCTTGGGGGAGGCATACTGGATTTGGGAAACTGCTCCCAGTGTCCACTCTGGCCAGAGCTGTATACACTGATTTCTGCTCTGTCTTTGACTCCTGTTGTGTGATTTGGGCTGATTTGGAGCTGCCACACAGCGGGAAAGTACACAAGATTTTGGACAACACCATGATAAAGTTACCATAAATAAGAAAACTTGAAGGCACATGACAGCAGCAGCAACAGGAATCTGGTGAAAGTTGGCAATATAAGATGACACTATCTAGATAAGAACTTAAAGTAACTTGGTAGTCAGATGTCCATATGGACAGTGACTGGGGGATTCTGACCACAGAAAAGGCATTACTAAAAGGAATTGAACAAAAAAATGGAATAATTTATGTGTTAGCTCCTGAATCCTCTCTAGTGGAAAGTTTGTGGAAATCAATGCAGCTTTATATTCATTTTCACAGAATAAGGTGATGAAAGTCAAAATCGTGTGATGTATCTGTGGATTCGAAAGAGGCGGAGATATTTTGCTATTTGGAAACCATATGTTTGTTGGAATAAATAACTTATCATAAGTCTGTTGCCCATGTTTGTAGTGTTTCAACGGCATTTGATCTAGGTATATAAACGTACTACATTTCAGACAGCATGATCTGTGCTTATTATCCTTCTGGCATCTTTTTGCTTGTTTACTTCTGTCTTTTTTGAGCCTTGCTCCCATTTTTTTAAAAAAAATATGAATAATAATGACTCCAAGAAGGCCTTTCTGTTTCCTTTCCCAAGGAATATATTAACACTAAAAAGTGTTGAAGCCTACAATAGCCATATTCAAAACTCAGGACCAGATGTCCTCAAAATTGTGGTCTTAAGTCATAGTAGTCGAAGAATAAACAAACATCTGTGATTGACGTAACTGCTTCTCAAATAGGCTAATACCTTGGTCTGGGTAATTCACTTTGGAGGAGCAGACCAAGAGACAGCAGAATCAAAATGAAGACTGTTTTTGTTCTAATTTTGACCCTTCTTATTATTTTCACAGGTAGGTATCATTGATAGCTGGGGAGTAGTATATGGTTGGGGAATTTGTGCTTGCCCATCTGAGAGAGAAAATTGATGAGTGTTAAATTGTATTAAAATGTTATCTTATGTTTTTTGATTGACAGTGATGCAATTTACTATCTGTTTTTCATTGTAGTTTTTCAGAAGATAAATATTATTCTACTATGGGAGCTAGTCCAGTGACAGTGAGTCAGTGCTGTGTATGTTTGCATGGGACAGATCTCCACTGGATTCCAACAATCCTCTAGCCTGAAAGAGATCTAGCACATAGACAGCAAAACTCAGGAGCATGCCACCTATTACCCTAATGCCATTTCCTAAAACTGCTCCTTACTGAGTACAGATGAGCCTACTTTTAAGTAAACTGTAGTATGCTGCTTCAGTCCTATGTCCTCTTTGGGGTGTATGAGAGTGTTTTAAACACAGTAGATTTGATTCCATATGAGACTGTACAAGGTCTTTGTCCGGCATATGGCTTCACAGGCTTTTAAAAAACAGCTTCTGTATTTACTGTGGCTCTGTCAATATCCCATGCATGTTCTTTGATTTGGTAACATTACCAAAGCAAGAAAAAGAAGGGGAAAAAAGGGAAAAAAAGAGAAAAGGGATTATGTTTGGCACCCCTAACAGGTTTCTCTTCAAAAAATGAACGTTTCATGCAAAATGCAAAGGGATCTTATACCACCTTAGAAACTAAATGAAAACAAAATCCAAAGTATTAGTTTTACAGACCTATGACCTCAAATGCATGGACTGAAGTACTGAGGAGCAGGTACTCCATACATCCATGTAAAAGGTTTATGCTATCGATTTCGTTCGGTCTGGATCCGTCTACACAGTAGAATGAATGCAACTCCCATGGCTCAATGCTGTGAAATCATGTCAGTTTTAATTTTGCAGCATCTTTATCCTTCTCTTCCAAAGAGTGCTAGTGCTCCACCAAACTGTACACCCCAGGATTCCTTAGCATTATGCCATAGCAGTTTATTCTACATTGTTGATGCACCATCAGTGAGTCTCTGTTGGCCAATGGGTTAAACCCTTGTGCCAGCTGACCTGCTGACCTGAAGGTCAGTGGTTCAATCTGTGAAACGGGGTGAGCTCCCATCTGTCAGCCCCAGCTTCCCATGTGGGGACATGAGGGAAGCCTCCCACAAGGTAGTAACACATCCGGGCATCCCCTGGGCAACATCTCTGCAGACAGCCAATTCTTTCACACCAGAAATGACTTGCAGTTATCTCAAGTCACTTCTGACATGATAAAAAATGAGTCTCTAAGGTGCTACAAGATCCCTTTACCTATTGATATTGCAGACTAACAGGGCTATTAATATCCATGTCTTTCCCTCCTATGGGGAATGTATTGATGGGACTGGGAGAGTGAAACTGATCACAAGTGCTGTTATACTTTATTCATTTTGCAAAGAGGTACATTTTGTGTTGGTTTTGTTGACTTTAATTTCTTGAGTTTATAAGCAAGCTCTAGTTTATTATTAAAAATGGTTTCAGATTGCACCCGTTTCTCCTGGAATGCGATATCCTCTTGAGGGGATGCAGTAATGAAAGAACACTTTGTGCATTGTAACACACATACTCACAGTATGAACACATTGATATGCACATACATCTTCCAAACATGTTTTCCTATACCTGAAATCCCAACTATCCATGTTAATTTCATATTTTTAAAGATGCCTCACCATTATTACCAGAAAAAGAAGCTAAGCAGCTTTTGAGAACCCGTCGCGAAGACAGACCAAGAAAACCTGGTTTCCCTGATGAACCAATGCGGGTGACTTTTTACATTTAATTTCAGATATATAATTATTTGTGTGGCATCTTTGTTGTTGTTGTTGTTGTTGTTGTTGTCATTACTCTCTTGTTAGCAGACAATTCTAAGGAGCCATTAAAATCAGTACAAAATGTATATTGTTTTGTCAAAATGAATCCAAGTTAATCATTTCTGTGATGCCATGACTGAAAATTTCTCTGTAACATATGTGCTCCTTCCATATCCCTGTCAAAATATGGAAATCATTATGTCTCCAGTCTAATAAATGGGCTCATTTTGAATGCAGACTGCAATTCTATGCTTACCTACCAGGGAGTAGATTCCATTGAACTCAGTAAGGTTTACTTCTGAGTAAACATCCGTAAAACAGCACTGTAAGAGAATATTTATTTTATTTTTATCCTACTTTTATCCTGATATACTCAAGGTGGCTTCAGGAAGTGCCATTTCCCAATTTATGTTTTATTTTATGTGTATATTAATATAAAAATTGAACGATAGCTGCATGTAATCAATCTGTATTATTATTATTATTATTATTATTATTATTATTATTAAAATATTTGTATTCCAGCCCCCTTATACCAAATATCTCAGAGTGGCATAGCATGAAATCAATCTAAACCATTTAAAACAAGAAAATATAAATATATTTATTTATTTAAAAGTTTTGTATACCGACCTTCTCACCTCTCTTGAGGGACTCAGACGGGTTTCCAACCATAATATACATACAGTCAATAAAACATCATAATACATATTACAGTAAAACATTAAAACATTATAATACATATTACAGTAAAACATTAAAACAGCAATTACAATCAATAACTATAATGGTCAGTCGTCATACTAAAATCGTTGCTCATCATCCTCATCCATATCTCAGGGTGTTGGCTCACTCGTCGAATGCCTGTCTCCATAACCAAGTCTTCACCTGTTTCCTAAATGCCAGGATAGACGGGGCGGTTCTGATCTCCAGTGGGAGAGAGTTCCAGAGTCGAGGGCCACCATGGAGAAGGCCCTGTCCCTCGTCCCCACCAGATGCGCTTGCGAGGCCGGTGGGACCGAGAGCAGGGTCTCTCCAGACGATCTTAATAAATATATGAAATAGATAGTTTTAGGACCTCATGTTGCTGTTTATTCATTCAGTTGCTTCTGACTCTTCATGACCTCATGGACCAGCCCACACCAGAGCTCCCTGTCGGCTGTGGCTACCCCCAGTTCCTTCAAGGTCAAGCCAGTCACTTCAAGGATACCATCCATCCATCCATCATGCCCTTGGTCTGCCCCTCTTCCTTTTTCCTTTCCATTCTATTTTTTCCTATTTTTAGCAAGGCAGCGGGGAATAATTTCTTAATTTGTTCAAAAGTTCTTTTAAAAAATCCCTACCATCCTTTGGATCCCCCTGAGTCTCATTGATGCCTTCCTTTTCTGTGTGGGCTAAACCACAGCATTTTTCCCCTGAATGAAGCATAGAGTATTTGAGGATTGAGAAATTCATAAGGATATTAAGGTGCTTGCTCTAACTGCATTATATGCCTGCAAAACATGAACCATCCACAAACATCACTCTTGACTTCTGGAACGATTCCACCAGTGTTGCCTCCAAAAAATCCTGCAAATCTCTTGGGAAGACATGAAGACAAACATCAGCATTCTGGAAGAAGCAAAGACCACCAGCACTGAAGCTATGATCTTCCACCATCAACTTCGCTGGACCAGCCATGATTGTCTGAAGGCCAAGCATAGTCCCCCAAAGAAGTTATTTTATTCTCAGCTAATGAAAGGAAAACAGAATGCTAGTGGAAAGCAAGAGATTTAAAGATGAGTTTAAAGCTAACCTTAAAATATGATATAAATACTGGGAACTGGGAAGCCCTGGCACTCAAAAGTTGTAGATAGAGGTCAGTTTTCACCAGCAATGCTATGAATTTCAGAGTCACAAATACAGGGAGAAAGGAAGATACACACCAAGAGGAAGGCATGTCATGTAAATCATTGTTGTGACCTCTATCCATCTGGAAATCTATGGCCTTATATAGACCGTGAAAGACTATATGGATCCAGAATAGGTCTTCATAATCATTTAAGGGTCCATCGCCAAGACTCCACCTCTGGAAGATAAACATACTCAGCCATGAGTGAGCACTCATGATGATGATAACCCCACGGTCAGCAAAGTCTGGGGCAAATATCAGGTTTTAGTGCCAGCCGTTGGCATCCTTTTTTTTTTTTGTAACTTTGAAAAAAAGCAAAGTATTTAACTTGGTGTGTATTAGGGCAACAGGTGTGACCTGTGCTGTGATGCATGTGAGCTATACTATTGTAGCGGTGAAGTTACACTGTCCTAGTAAAATTGCTTCTTAGGCCTTTTCTATGCTGCCATATAAAATCCAGATTATGTGCTTTGAACTGGATTATAAATCTACACTGCCATATAATCCAGTTCAAAGCAGATAATGTGGATTATCTGCTTTGATAATATGTCAGTGTAGAAGGGGCCTTAGTGATAGGCTAACAGGCAGGCAAGGGGGGCATGATCATCTCTGTTATTGCATAGTGTCCAACATTTCACAGATAAAAAAGGGACATCTGTGGCCAAACAATATCAGGTGATAGAAGTTATTAATGTGTTATTAACAGATGCTAGAAAAGGCTACAGTAGTTTGCTTTTGACTGAGCCTACCAGGAAGGGCAAGGTGCTCTCCTTTCCTTCTCATGAGCTGATTGAATTTGGACTTTGCACACTCATTTGCACTTTGCACTCAATTTGCAGTGATTGAAATGGAGAGGGGAATAGGGTGGGTGGGGGGAATACACTGGGACATTTTAAAAGCATATGAAAAAAAATGAGACAACAGTGGATCGTCTCTAGCATTGGAAGGTATGGAGTCCTAGTATGTGTAATGTTATTACACATATCTACTAAAAGATCCCCACTTGTAGAATGGGTTCACTGTTAATATGTATGTTTACTACAACGATCTAGTAAATATTTCAATGAAAGGCCTGAAGGAGGGCAGTGTCACCGCTGTGTTTTCTGAAAGCATCTTTCCTTTCCACAGGAGTACATGCTTTACCTTCAGCAGCTGGAACACAGAGCTGAAGAACAGTTCTTTGAGCATTGGTTGAATCCACACTGCTACCCACATTGCGACAGGAACTTAGTTCACCCCGTGTAAAAGATTATGTTGTTTTCTTCAATGGCAGTAAGTATACTTCTGACAATTTCACCACTATTTTGTTCAGAGCTATATTAAGGATTTGATGAATAGCTACATTTTTTTACTTTTACAATGCAATTTTTTTGGAAAAAAATGTATAGTTTTAACATTTTCTCATACTTTTCCCTAGATAATTCTTCTTGATATGGAGAAAGAAAGAAAATGATCTACAAGAAAATGGAAAAGAGCTGATATAACGTTTTCTGTGTAACCAAAGCATCTGCCGTTTTGAGGAATTTTGACACTGCTCTGCAACCCAACTCAACTTTTAAAAAAACATATTAGAGCTTTATTTTCTATTAAACAGCATAGCCATATATTTGAAAAATTGCCTGGTTTTAGGCATCAATACTATGCACGCCTACCTGAGAGGAAGCTTTACTGAAAACATTAGGCATGCTTCTGAGTAGCCAGATTGTGCTTTACATTACTCTGTGAATCATTAAACTACGCTAATCTCATTTGTAAATCATAGATTTTTCTAAATGTGTAGTAATTTAACTATTATGATTAAAAGGTAGATTATAACCCTTTGAATCATAGGCAAGTCAACAGTTGTGTTAAGGATGAAAAACTAGAGTGATAAAGGTAGAGTTTGTAATAACCAGAGATTTAGACTTTCTGTGCTCTGCCTGGTTTTCTTAGATTGTAATCCTACTCATGCTCATAGAGAGTCATAGAGATGGGAGATACCATAAAGGCTGTCCAGTCCAATCCCATTCTGCCAAGTAGGAATACAGAAATAAATGCTGTCTCTGTTTAAAACCCTCCAAAGAAGGAAACTCGTCCCCACTCCCAAGCAGCATATTCCACTGTGGAACAGCTTGTACTGCAGGGAAGTTATTCCTAATGTTTAGGTGAAATCTCTTTTCCTGTAGTTCACTGTTTCTTAACCACCCTAATGCCACAATCCCTTAATACAGTTTTTCATGTTGTGGTGACCCCCTACCCCAACCATAACATTATTTTTGTTGCTACTTCATAACTGTAATTTTGCGACTGTTATGAATCGTAATGTAAATATCTGATATGCAGGATGTATTTTCATTCACTGGACCAAATTTGGCACAAATACCCAATATGCCCAAATTTGAATACTGCTGGGATGGGGGGGGGGGAGTTGTAGTTGCTGGGATTTATAGTTCACCTACAACCGAAGAGCATTCTGAACTCCACCAACAATGGAATTGAACCAAACTTGGCACACAGAACTCCCATGACCAACAGAAAATACTGTAAGGTTTTGGTGGACATTGACTTTCAGTTTTGGAGTTGTAGTTCACCTATATCCAGAGAGCACTGTGGACTCAAACAATGATAGATCTGGGCCAAACTTGGCACGAATACTCAATATGCCCACATATGAACACTGGTAGGGAAAAAAGACCTTGACATTTGGGAGTTGTAGTTGCTGGGATTTATAGTTCACCTACAATCAAAGAGCATTGTGAACCCCACCAATGATAGAATGTGGTCAAACTTCTCACACAGAACCTCTATGTTTTGAAGGGACTCACTGGTATCAGTCTCCCTCCAGCCTTGCACACTCTCCCTTCCCACACATGTGCACCACACTGCCATGTGCTAAGTATGCCTGCTCTCCCCTCCCGCTTGGAGTCTCAGAAATAGCTCTCCCCTTGGCTAAGAGGCTGGCCAATCACAGTGGAGGAGGGCTTTTGGGGAGGATTTGCTATATGTTTCCAAAAAGGAGGAGAAGGACAGGCAAAGAGTTCTTTAGCCTTCTCTGTCAAAAGGGTTCCTAAGTCCATCAGAAATATATGTATCTGATGGTCTTTGGCAACCCCTATGAAACCCCCTCGTGACCTCCCCTGGGGTCCTGACCCCCAGAATGAGAAACGCTGCTGTAGTTTGAAGCCATTGCTCCATGCCTTTGTCTTTGGGTCAGAAGATAACAAGCCAGCTTCACTTGAATTCCTTTCAAATATTAAATATGGTTATTATGTTATCTCTTAATCTACTCTTCTCCAAGCCAAACATAGCTCCCCGAGCTGCTCCTCATAGAGCTTGGCTGCCAGAACTTTAATCATTTTGGTTGCCCTCATCTAGCCATATTCCAGTTTCTCAATATCCTTTTGAATTGTGATTCCTCAAACTGGACACAGTATTCCAGGGGAGGTTGCAGAATAGCATGGTGGTATTACTTCTTTCGTTCACATGGGGACCAACTCAACTGAATCCAGCAGGATTTAGGTCTGAAAAATCAATCATAGGAGTGAGTTACATAGGATTGGACATGACCCTTTGACCATCTGTCTCATAATTCCTGCCTATGCAAAAGTGTTCCACTTGCATAACCTGATGGGTTGCCTGGTGTACTTAGAAGTGATTCCGACTAGTGCAATACAACATATTCCTAAACAAATCACAAGATTGCAGCTTTAATTGTGAGTTTGTGGATTACCATGATTGTCAGTGGAAGCTGGCTAGAAAGAAAGAAAGGGAACTGAAAAATAGAAGCAAACAAAATGGATAAAATATTGCAGGCATAATAGGGTTTGACACAGAGCTACCATTTTTGGAAGCAGTATTTGTTTGAATAGATCCCTTTGACACAATATAAAACATTGGTGGGCTGATATGGTTAGTATTTTGACAATTCCTTCCTCCATGCTGTCTTCCTGATCTGGAATTGACTTTCTGTGATAATTCCCAAGGAAAAGGGGAACAGAAAAATACATATTGGTAAACTCTGTTCAGGAGGTTATGTGTTTTTTAGCCTATAGTTTTGACCTATGAGGTAAGCTAGTTTCAGTGGGAGACAATTAAAGAAGACTTAAGCACAATGCTTAACTTGCTTAAGGAACTAAGGAGACAGGCTGTAATTCCATCTGGAATGAGCTTTGCTTTTGTCTGCATAAACACACAGGGCTCCACTCTTGGAAATAGATTGAACCATTTTTTCTTGGGTTAAATCATGGTCTTGGAATTTTATTCCTTTTTGGGGCACAGCAACAAGCATTGTCAAGAACATGGGCCTGTCTGTCTGGCACACAGAGCTTCTCAAAGATTTGGCCCATAAGACTTTCTTACATTTTGAGAACAGAAGGAAATCTTTCATCAGAGAATTAACATGGAGAAAATTCCGAGGCTGCTCCAAAAGACAAGCCAAATAATAGCATTTCTGCAATTTTACTAATTACTTTGTAATTGAATACAAGTGTTTGCCTAGCATTTACTTTATGTTAATTGCTTCATATAATACAAGTTTTTAAACAAAGCAGTTTCCTGTTGATTCTTCAAGGGATTAGACAATGCAAATATTGATGAAGAGCTTCTTTGCAATTTTGTGTGTGTGTCAGGAGCAACTTGAGAAACTGCAAGTCACTTCTGGTGTGAGAGAATTGGCCATCTGCAAGGATGTTGCCTGGGGACGCCTGGATTTTTACCATCTTGTGGGAGGCCTCTCTCATGTCCCCGCATGAGAAGCTAGAGCTGCAACGGGAGCTAACCCCGCTCCCTGGATTTGAACCGCCAACCTGTCGGCCAGCACACCTTCTGGCACAAGGCTTTGCGCATTGTGCCACTGGGGGCTCCCTTCTTTTGCAATGACACATTAATGTATATATGCAATTTTAATAGTTACTATCAGAACCCTTCCTTCCTAGTCTCTCCAACAATTCTGTCAGGGATTTTATTTCTCACAGAATGTACCAAACTGTGGCCCAACAATCTACAAAATGGCATCATTACTGCACCTTCAAATGCAAATTCTGATGTCCTGATGAAATTTTCTATCAGTTCTCAAACTTCTAGCATTCCAGAGAGCGAGACATTTAAAACTGATCTTACCTAGAAGTCTTATATCTGCATTCCCTTGGTAATTTCATCTCTCTGTTTTCTTTGGATGCCTAAATTGCACTTCTAGAGGCCCTTCCAGACAGGCCCAGGATCTGATTCTAGGTTTTCCATTTATCCCAGATTACCTGGCAGTGTGGACTCATATAATCCAGTTCAAAGCAGAAAACTTGGGATTGGATCCTGGGATATAGGGCCTTTCTGGAATAGCCTTAAGTGCTCAACTGAAGTTTTAAGTTACTGCAATGCTTGATATTTGGGAAGTGAAGGAAAATGTCAAGGAAGACAAAGTCCTGACTTTGGAGGCAATGTACTTATTTGTCCCCTTTCTTGCAATGGCCTTGCCTTGTTGTGAACAGAATTGCCATTTGACTAACTTCCTTTTTCACCTGTTACAGAAAAAGAACCATAATTCCATGCTTTTTATGGATAAGGTTTCATCACTCCATGAATGGAATATATATCATGCAGGAACTTCGGGGACTCAGTCCTTGGCATTTCCAAAATGAAAAAGGTCAGAGAGATAACATAGGCCTTGCAGAACTGAAAAACCATAAAAATCTTTTATAAATGTATGCTGTTTTTAGGTATTCTAAATCTAAAAAATGATCTCAAATTTGCTCTATCATGTATATATTTTTGCACAAATTGCTTTAATGTTTTATTGTGTAAGATGTGGCTGAGTAATATTTCATTGGGGAGTAAATAATAAATTTAGGGGTAATTTTCTAATAGACTTTCAAAACACTACAGTTTGCTGCTATGAAACACAAAAATATTTTCAAAAGCACTAAAAACGGCTTTGGAACACCAACGTCTGCACTAAATTAAAACTCAGTAATAATTGTATGGATAAAATTATCAAATTGTCCAGGGTGGGAGAAAGAACTCTTGTCTGTTTGAGTTGGTGTTTCAATTGGCCATCTTGACTAGCATTTAATGGTCTAGCAGTCTCAAGGTCTGGCTTCTTACTGCCTGGGGGAAATCCTTTGTTGGCTCCCACCCTGGACATTCCACAGATATATAAACCCAATTTTCCAAGTTTCCAACAGACCTCACAACCTCTGAGGATGCCTGCCATAGATGCAGGCGAAACGTCAGGAGAGAATGCTTCTGGAACATGACCATACAGCTCGGAAAACTTACAACAACCCAGTATCAATTGGACTTCAGGCTTTGTTTTGGCTTTGGAAACTGTCTTGTCTACAATCACTGTAGGAGGATGTTACCCTCTTGATCCTCCTGGATTTCCCAGCAGCTTTCAGCCTAACAAGCCATCATAACCTTCTGAAAAATCTCTCTGACGTGTGAGTCCATGACACATTTGCCTGTGCTTCTGTTAAAGAACAGCCATTTAAAGGAGGAGGCATTAATCAGACTTGGCTTCAAGGCAGCCAGTTGCAGCTGAGGAGTGTGAACAGAATGCATCAAAAGGCAGAGGCTTGCCTCTGAGCAGATTAAGAAGGATATGAATTTCATATAGTCAGGGTGTGAAGCTGAAACTGAGAGAGTGTTGAGTTGACACAAAGAAAGAGTTTTGCATCTGAGAGAGAAGGGAGAATTATGGTTTGGGGGAAGTTTAATGAATAGATAAATAAAGTTTAGCATATTTTCCGACTGTGTTCATGACACCTATCCGTGTGACTGCTTTAAATG